CGGTGCTGCTGCTGCTGCCGCTGGGTCTTCTGCTGCTGCTGCTGCTGTTTCTGCTGGCTTGCCTGCTGCTGTAGGTCGAAACCTAGGAGCAGCAGTCGCTTGTTCTGCTGCTGCCGCGACTGTGTGCTGCTGCTGCTGCTTTCCGCCTCCTCGGGCGCCCGGCATCTGCTTCCACGTTCCGCTGCTGCTGCTGCTGCTGCTGCTGCTGTCAGGGCCTGCTGAAGCCAACGCTGGAGCGGCTGCTGCTGCGCAGTGGCGGGGGCCCCACAGACACTTTATCCCCCCATTGGCGGTTTACGCTGGTGGGGGGGGCCCTTTGTGTGTGTCTGTATAGTCCCCCTGCTGCTGCTGCTGCTGCTGCTGTGCTGCTGCTCTATTCCCGGTGGCTGCTGGACGCGGCCAACAGCAGCAAACAGCCCCCCATGGTCAACGCAGTTGCTGCCTTCGGCCTCATGCAGCTGCTGCACCAACTCAAAAAGAATACCGCAGCAGCGCCCCAAGAGCGTAAACCCTAAACCCTAAACCCTAAACCCTACTTGACACACACCGCAGACTGCCCGCGCACCCGCCCAGCAGCAGATGCGCCGACGGGCTTGCCCGCGACATGTCTTCTGCTGCTGCTGCTCTGTGCTGCTGCTGCTGCTCTGTGCTGCTGCTGCTGCTCTGTGCTGCTACTGCTGCTGCTGCTGCTGTGCTGCAGTGCTGCAGCGGCTGCACGACCCGAACACTTTGGGGCGGCTGCTGACCACGCTGGTGTGCATACACCACGAGAGCATCCGCGGGGCGCAGGGCGCCCACGAGGGCAGCAGCAGCAGCAGAGCAGCAGCAGCAGCAGACAGCAGCTTCCCAATTGTTGCTGCTGTTGTCAAACTAGATAAAACTTGGCCCGAACAAAGGGCCCCCCGTGTCTCTCGGCTGCTGGCGCTGCACAATTTGCTGTTTGTCAAGACCCTGCTGGGCTTCCTCTACCGCACCAGGCACCTGCTGCAGCAGCAGCAGCAGCAGCAGCAGCAGGGAGGGGAGGGCATGGAGGTGGACGAACCCGCAGCAGCAGCAGCAGCAAGCTTCGAGGAGCTGCTGCAGCAGGGACTGGCTCCAGTTCTTAAGGGCCTCTTCGAGGCCCCAAACAGCGAACTAGACAAACACATAACTGCTGTTGAAGTTGCTGCTGCTGCAGCTGCTGCTGCAGCAAAATGGGAGGACCCGAAGGCCAGGGAGACCCTCTGGAATATTCTGTGTCCTCTTATGGCAAGTTTTGAATGCTCCAAACCCTAAACCCGAAACCCTCCCCAGTCTCTAAACCCTACCTAAACCCTAAATCCTGGCTAAACCCTAAACCCTACCTAAACGCTAAACCCTACCCAAACCCTAAACCCTACCCAAACCCTAAACCATTCTAAGCCCTAAAACCTATCCAAAACCCTGAAATGGTCTGTGAACTCTACGTAAACCCTAAACCCTCAAGTGTTAGCTAGGCTCTCAATTTTACCTGGACCCTAGACCCCACCTAAACCCTAAACCCTAATTTGTGGTTTGGGGTTTGCTGCAGTCGGCAAGCTTCGCCCGGCTAGATGATGAACGTTTAGCTGCCTGGGCTGACGGCCTGAGGTTTGCGCTGTGTCCTTCTGCTGCACCGTTGCTGCCACCAAAGCAGCAGCAGCAGCAGCAGCAGCAGCAGCTGAGGGGAGCAGCAGCTGCTGCTGCAGCGG